CATTTTAACCATGAGCATTAGCACATTTCTTACTGAGTTAATGGTTATGCAAATTAGCAATTATTCTTTTTGGTGCACATCCCAGAACTTTAAAACAAATAGCTCCTAGACGCTTTGACCTTTTGTTCTGAAATTTTCACAAATGATTGACAATGTGTCTATCTTCAAAACGCCGTCGGGCCATTGTTTTTGGTTGAACAGTGTTACAACAATCGTACAGACAACTAGCCTGGGTGTTAATATATGCATAAACTTGAAGTAGTGAAATTTGTGCTGCTTCCCTGCAAAATTGACAACTGGTAGACAGTTTTCAAGACAGAAATGTCTTCATAGTAAACAGATATACCCGTAAACTAATTTTGACAGGAAACAGAAGTAAGGTTTAGAAGCTATTTTTTTTAAATCACTTTTGACCAAAAAAGCACATTTGTGTGCATATTTCAAACTACAGTGTCCATATGTTCACATGCACAATCTAAACAAAAGTAGTGATTTTCATAATCAAGGATTCAAATATCGTAACTTTGACAACAATGTTTGACGGGAACGGTGGCCATGCTGCTGCTTTATGTGGGCTGGTAAACTATCCCAAGAGCATTTACAGCTACGAGAAATGGTGCTAAGGGCACTATTACAGTGATTAAACTTAAAATCGGACCGAAAAAGTACAACGGGCGCTTCTCGTGATACATTACGATTTTAACGACATTAAAATATTATTTTTACGATAGTAACATAGGGCCGCCTATACTCTGAAATATCAGTACCGGGTAAGATATGGTTCTAGCAAATATGTCCGTTCTTTAGATAGTTCCTTAGTAGTATGTTCAGTTTTATGACCTAGTATACCAATATATTCTGAAGATATAGAAAAAAACTTTAATGTGGTACAGCACTGGAAACATTCAAGTACTTTTTAAAGTAAAAGTAAAAATCACAAATCGAAATAGAATTTATACATTTGTAATTATACTTTACTTTTGAAATGAGTTATCATTTGTAATCTTAATTTGAAAATTTACTTTTATTATTAAAAATAGATTTACATTTGTATTTTTATTCCACTTTTGAAAATGAGTTCCCCTTTCAGTTTTGAAAATGTCTGGTTTTTCATTTTGATTTTTTTTTTCGGACTTTGCTCTTTGAACCTTGACCGTTGGCCTTACTGCTTAGCCAATGTTAAGTTGTCATTTCAACGACGCTGTAAAGTGTAACGAGCGTGTTGAAAGGATGTATCGGGATTTTACTCGGATTTCCTGAGCCAGAAAGGTAAATGTCAAGAAACACTAGTTATTTTCCTCTATAAATGTCTGTATGAGTCGTTTTTTCAGTTTGTATGCGTAACTGAAATACAAGCATCTAAAAATCGCTAACCACACTGTCGATTTCATTCTTCTCAAACTACCATTGCATACTGTATATTACACAGTTTAGTGTATAGAATTGAAATAAAGAACTTTTCACTGCCTATCATTGCATGTTAAACATCACCACTATCATAGGTATTTATGACGTCATAGCTTTACATTAACACACTAAATTTGTTTAATTCTGATGTTGGTGGTTATTATTAACTAATCCTCCAGAGCGCCATATTGAATTCGGAGAACGGTCTAGACAAAATAATTTTCACATAGACCTTTCTTCTCATCCAATATGGCGGTATGGAAGATTCGTTATTGTTGCGTAGTTGAGAATCGGCAAGGGGTATTTCTGTAAGCTGTAATCAATTGTTTTTATTTCGTAATAATGTAATTTAAATAAATACATAACGTAAATTCATAGACATGGTGAAATGTAATCAGCTATTTTATTCGTTCGTAATTTTAAGATCTTATTTTTTGTAAGCGTATAAAGCACTTTCAACATTAAATGCCGTAATATCGTGCGCAATTTCAAATTTTGATTCTTAAACACAAATTATCAAGTATATTATAAAAATGGAAAATGTAATTAGGAATTTGCTTAATTTGTTAAGCTAATTTTACTGTAAATGGAACTTTTTATTTCCTGTAAAAACGTAAAATGCATTTTTTATTTTCTGTAACCTGTTCCAGCTACCCCCTTGCCCCCTTCATAGTTGTATATACACACATTTGGAAAAATAAATTTTATTTGGAACGTGTTTTAATTGTATTCTTGGCGTTATGTTGTACATAGTTTACCGTGGTGAAGTATTCATCTATTATCGATGATACAACATGACAGTCGAAATGACAATGATTCAACGTTTAATTGTAAACATGCTTCATATTGAAATTTGTTGTTGAACATGCATTCACTTGTTCTTTCTAACTAATTCGTTGAGGCAACAATTGTTATGCCCGATTTCGAACCTTGTGTGCGTTTACTAGTGAACTTTGTCGAGTGATAATCACGGATGTCATTGTTGCGTAAATGCTTCACAAACACATAGATTTACACAAGTACGAATTACTAAGTAAAGATCATTGGAGTAATGTCTATTGAGCATGTGAAAGTGTACAAAGGGTTCCTTTCTGAGTATTGTACTACTACTAATATTAAAATACGTACTTTATTGTACAATACATCGTAATTCTCGCGGCCAGAAAAACAACAACACAGACATTGGATTCTGTCTAGAAATGCATAGTTTATTATTACATCTGTACTGCGGTATTCATAGTTACAAGCTTACTCAATAATATTGGTAATAACTGCAAAATTATGCAAATAAAATGAAAAAAACAACAAAGTATTGTGCCTTTCTGTGCGCCCCTGCTAAAGCCTTTTTTCAGAAATTGGGGAATTTTGGAACTTTTTATTTTATTGAATCGCTAGGTTATTTGCAAATTCAGTCGACGGCGAGCCAAACAGCAAATGATAATTGATCAAAGAGAGGCAAACTGCAGTGTTACAATACTTCTCTGTTCTTCTAAGGCTGTGGGAATTCCGAGACCTACAAAAATTATTCAAACAAAAAACTCCAACGTCCACTTTTTAATATTTAACACGTGCTCGTTTATTTAGAAAATATTGTCATAGATACTATGTAAACGTGCATGACGTCATATTCTAGAACTAAAGCGATGCTAACTGATTGATGACGTTGCTAATTGAAATGAAGATCGAACAAATTGTTGAGTATATCAGCGCTATGGTCAAACAGGGAAATTCTTACGTTGTACGCTCGCTATCCGAACACTGTCAGTTTCTGAAGGACCACAACTGAACAATGTATGCACGCTTAAGATTGAATTATTGTACGGATTTCAATGACGAAGCGCCCGATGTTGCTGTTAAAAAAAATAGTTCTTCGTCCACAATTAATTTACATTAACCCCGTTATAAAGGAGACGTTTACGGTTGCAGCTCCAAAACTATGGACCACACTACCTAGAAGTCTTTGTGACGAACATACTCTATCATTCAAGTCTCCCCTAAAAGCTCTCGTCTTCCGTCAAACGTATTGCAACACAGAATTTCTTGTATTTTTCTATTTTTTAGCCAATTTCTTAATATTTAAAATTATTACACCGATAACACTATTATTTCGAAAAAGGAATAACTTTTTTTTGGAAATAATGAGAGTGAACAAATGTGACTGGAATATAGCCATGTGACGACTTGTAGACTAATAACCGGTTGGTTCGCCGTGTCAAAACATCGTCTGTCATGATTATTTCGTTGGGCCCGTGGCCGCCGACACGGTGTGCAAGTAATAACTAAAAAATATCAACTAGCGTGTCAATAAAATAAAAAGTTTTAAATTGAAAATAAGATTTTGATTTTCGTCGTTCATTTCAAAGTGCTATTGGTGAAAGGGAGATAGTAAATAAATTGACATGAAATTACCCCCAAAAAACCAAAATGTTAGATTCTAAAAAAATATTAAAAATTCGCTTGGCCGTCATATGCAACGGACGATAAACCCGGATCGAAAACTATTCAAAATGTTTTAAAATAAACACTAGGCAATTGTGTTTTTGTATCAAAACTGTCACATAATTATATCATCAACCTTTGGGTTTTTTTAAACACTACGAAATACATAATAACGCAAATATATCAATACAGTTTACTAATTTACTACTAACAACCCCACTACCTAATTATATACAAACATCGGAAAAAAATTAAACTCACTGTACGATGTAGAAAGGAAACGATAATGTAAATAATATACTTGGTTGTCGTAATTATGTGGACAATTCAAACTTGAGGACATAGACCGTGTCACATTTAGATTTTGCACATATATAGAGTTTAGTAATTCAATAACAATGTTTGAGTTGACATATCATTTTATAAAACAATATGAAATATAAGTGATTTGAATGTACAAAAAGCAAAAACCCATACAAAATATATATTTCACCTTTTAAAAGTATATAACATATCAAAGTTGGTACACATGCCGATTTCCGCATAGGTCGGTTGTCTTTGTCGAATATTGGTCAATGTTTGCGTCGGTATTGTTCTGCTTCAAACTAGTCTAATTCGGACAACTAATCTAAGTATATGTAAGTAAAAACGCATTAACGTGTGTTATCACAAACACAAAACTAATACATCGAATTAATCAAGATAAATTAATTATGAATTCAAGAAGTGTATAGTCAAATTAGTTGATGAACTTGGTATTAAGGATCCATGTTCAGAAAACATTTTTGTGACTTACCAAATCTACAAACATTATTCAATATTGTGTGAAATTATTGGTAATCTTATTGACATATTGATCCAAATCATCCAAGATGAAAAACTGTTATTGTTTTGATGACCTACTGTGCGTGGACATACATGTGAAAAACACCACACCATGCAGATGTACTTTTTTTTACAGAACATTGATTATACTGTTTTTACTTATTTTTGAGCACACAATTTGTTATAAACGGCATAAACAAATTACAGACCTTCCTGTCGTCCACTAATTCAAAATAATAGTCAGCATTACCAGAATATAAGTGTCAATGAAGATGTGTGTCATTTTAAACAAAACACATTACCAACAACGGTAAATGTATGAGTATGGCCTAATACAAAACTTCACATATATTGCAGCAACAAGAACGGAACAAGTGTGCTAATTTACACTATTGAATTTTCTTATGTCAAACATTGTTAATACCATTTTAGTCCTTCGGGTTTATACTTTTCAGTGACATTGCTAGCCAAGCTATAATTGTCGGCATCGTGTCTGCTAAACTTGTTCGATCTTATGCCTGCAAAAAAATAATGTAACATATTCAAAATATTAATTAATTCAAATGAGACAAATGCAAGGTGTGAACGTTCAGTGTAATGTTTTATATAACCAAATCAATGTCCCGAATTCTATCCATATTATTCCAAGCACGATATTGAAACAAGCATTTTCTGATTAACACAATATAGCTATTTTCTTATATGACATTCCAATTAAGGTTACTGTTTTACTTTTGTATATACTAGTTGATTATTATGTTTATTATTCAACTTATGCTATATTGTTTTCATTGCAATATGAAAACGTTTTATCATAATAAATGTATTGACAAAATATGACTGTTCAGATGTGGTACATGCAAGCAATATTTGTGCACACCTAAACAATGTGTAATTACTGACCTCTGCGATTAGATCCGAGACTTGTTCGAGACTGTGTAACATCTGAATACAAGAGACAATTGTGCACGTATATCAGCTTATCTTACTACTACAATCCAAACAATCCATTTAGCATGAATATTTCTCACCATGATTATATAACATCTTGTTACACAGATGTGTGCGTGAAATATCAATTCTCTCTACAAATAACATCGTTTTAATCAAATATAAGCGAAAAATATCCGTGAATTGATGCTACTGTTGTTAAGTTGCAGTGCATAAAAATCAAATAAATGTTTAAATAACACACCTTTGCCCATTGATAGAATACTCGTTTTTGACACTGACTTCTTATCTGTATAAAAAAGATACAACTCACTTTATACAAATATCAATATAGAATATATATATAGAATAATACATGTTCTTTTAATCTATCTTAAATAACAAATTGAACTTTTACCATCACTCACTTTTGTCCTACCTCACTCATCTGCACACCCCTAGTCAGACCCCCCCCCCACCTAAACACCCCCCACATACACACACACACACGCATACAG